GAGATTAGCTCGTGAGCAAGTAAGAGTTCAAGTTCAGATCTAATTCGAGAGAGAGTTCTCCCCTTCGATAAAAGGGATTTTATAGGGGAGTTCTTGTCAAATCGGACGTAATTGCCACTGGGCTCCTACCACGGTCGTTACCTGCCAGGGCTGCGCAGGTGATCGTTACAATGTACTACATGCTTGGATGAGTGACACGTTTTAAAGGGACAGGCACGCCACCATCTGTCGAGAGACGTGGGTGCAGACTGTCAAATGGGCAGGGACTGCGCCGTCAGTCGAGAGACGTGGTGCAGTCTGACGAGTACGGTCTTGTCAGATAGAAGCTTCCTGAGAGCGTCGCGCTGCTTAGTTGCGAGCTACCCTGTCGCGTAGCGAGCTACTTTGTAGCAAGCTCTTATGAGTATTTCGAGGTGACCCTCATCAAGGTTGGTCTTTGGGGCAGTTCTTGCTAGAGCGAGTTGGTTTCCCTAGCTCACGAACTGAAATAGTCTTGGAGTATTCCCTTCTTCTCGGTAGCTCAGGGGACCTGGAGCTCGCATTGTAGCGAGCTCCCCCTATAGCGAGCTATGATGTAGCGAACTGCTCTACAGGCTCGTTACTTAGCTGTGGTCAGGCCATGACGCTGAGTTGTTGCTCGTGCTGTGTCAGATCCACGTGTAATCGTCTCAGTACGTCGGGTCAAATCATCCTCCATCAGAAATGAAATGTAAAATTTAATTGGAAATAAAAATATTTTCCAATTCTCTCTCATTAAATCCTATATTTAAGATATATTTTTCTCATCATTAAATTCTTGTAATGAAATCCACAATAATAATTTTAATAGTATAAAATAAATATTTTGAAAAGTAATTTGAAAACAAAACCATTTTCTCCCCCCCCCCCCGATGGTGGGCAAGTAATTCGGCCATTTGAGGTCAAATGGATTAATAAAAAATATCATAATTAAATAATAAAAAATAAAATAAAAAAGTATAGAATGTAAGAAGTATTTTTATTAATGATGAAAATGGAATGCCAAATTTAAAATCTACCTAAAAATGAAATGATGTCATTAGGGGTGAGCAAAAAAGCCCGAAAAACCAAACCGAAAATCTGGTTAACTAAACCGATCGATTCGGTTTTGGTTCGCTATTCTTAAAAAAACACAAGTTTCAAATCGGTTTCGGTTAAGCTTTTAAAAAAATGGCAGTTAACCAAACTGACCGGTATATATACCGGTCATCTCCTCTACCGCTCCGTGCCAACCTCCAAGCGGCAATGCCAGTCACCGGCAAGCACCAAACCACCAAAGCCAAGCGCTAGCTACTCCCTCTCCGGAAACACCTATCATCTCTGCCACCTCTCACTTCAAGTTCAGGCAACAGCAACCAGTCTAGCACTGGCAAATCGGCCACCACTTCAATGTTCATTGTCCAAGTTCGACTTCAGGCCTTCAACTTGTTTAAGGTATTTTTTATTTTTTTGCATAGATATTATTTATAGCATTTTTTTTGCATCTAGCTTTAGCTTGTTCATTGTCCAAGGTTACTACACAAAAAAAAACCAAAAAATAGTTCAGTTTTGGTTCGAGTTATTAAGAAATGGACCAAGTTGGTTCGGTTCAAAAAAAAACCTCACAAACTGAATTGTGAGCACCTCTAGATGTCATAGTCAAATAATAAAAATTTTAAAATTAGGAAATTCAAATAATCACAAAAATAAAAAAAAAAGTATAGAGAAAATTTTGGGCACATATCTAATGTTATATATTTATAAAAATAAAGTATTGGGTACATCCCTAACATTATACATTCATTATAAAAACAAGTATTATAGATAAGAAATAATTTTATCAATGATGTAAATGTAATACCAAATTTAATGTCAACCTAGAAACCAAACTATCATAGACAAACAAAAATTAAGTGTGATAAGTAAAAATTATTTATCTAATGTAAATGAAGCATATAATTTAAAGGAAAAATTATAGTTAAAGTTGATTGTACATTTAAATTTCGGTTGCAAGTTGGTTTAGAAACCAACAAAACTCTGACAACTAGCAATACATTTCAAACTATAAAAACCCCCGCCATGTCATCAGAGGCTTATCCAACTGTTACCAACACGGGACTCTTAATCCATGTTGGACAAACAAAAAGCCTATATTGAAAATAAGTTTTTAGTTTATCTCATGCTCCCTCTCTCTCAATCTCCCTCCCTTCTCTCTCACTCTCACTCTCACTCTCACAATCATCTCTTGGTCTCCCGCTCCCTCTATTTCTCCCACTCTCTCAACTTTGGTCTGTAGCGAAATCTCTCTCTCTCTCTCTCTCTCTCATTCTTCTGCCTCTCAATCAATATCTCCTTCTCCCTCAGTCTTTCTCCCACTCCCTCTATCGTTCTTTATTATTTTTCTTACAAACTTATACAATACTAATCAGATGGTATAAAAAAACTAAAGGGACCAACCACTTGTACAATCAAGTTATAAATTTCTATCAAGTTTGTGTAAATTTCATAGTCAAGAGTTTCTTGTGATTTTTTATCAAATTGGTGTAATTATTTTTTAACCATACCAAGTTGGTCTCATGTTCTTTTACATGGTATGATAAGTGTGTAAGAAAATAAAAAAAAAAACAAAAATGAGAGAGGGAGCAAGAGAGAAATTGATGGAGAACAACAGAATTAAGGGAGAATGAGAGATCGATCAAGAAAGAGAATGAGAGAGATTGAGGAAAAAAATAGGTAGAGAGAGAATGAGAGAAATTGATAGAGAGAACGTAAATACCGAAACCAAAAACCATTTTTATATATTTTCAAATCACACAATCGTTGAGCAGAAAGACGACTATGAGAGTGAAAGAATGGGAGGGGGAGAGAGAGAGAGAGAGAGGAAGAGAAACTAAAACCCATTTTTTATTTTCCAATCACCTAGCATTAAAGGGCAATTTTGCTATAAGATTTTTGTTGGGCCCATCATGGATTAAGAGTCCCATGTTGGCAACAACCATGTAAGCCTCCAATGACATGGCGGGGGTTTCTATAATTTGAAATGTAGATCCAGTTGTCAAAGTTTTATTGGTTTTAGGACCAACCTATAGCCTACTTTTAAATGTATTTTCCCTAATATAAAACTAATCCGGAAGCAAAGCTATTTTCTTATCTAGATAGTGGGTCAATAATCCAACTTTTCAAAGAAACCCATAATGTCATAATTTAATAATAGATATTTTAAAAATGATAGAACACCAAAATAAAATTGTATAAATTTTGTAGAAAACATTTGAGAACATTTCTAATGTTATGTATTCCTCATATTAAATAAAAATAATTGTTAAAATAAAAGTTATGTTTATTTATGATAGAAATAGAATACAAAATTTAATAATAATAATAATAATAATAATAATAATAATAATAATAGTAGTAGTAGTAGTAGTAGTAGTAGTAGTAGTAATTGTTATTTGCTACAAGCATTTGAGTTTATTTTTAATCATATTTTTACTTTTGTTCATTTTCAATTTATATCTTAACTATGATATATCTAAAACTCAAGTAATTAATATAAAGAAAAATTTCTCACATGCAATACATGTGCTTAATTACTAGTACATATATACTGAATTCCTAAATACTTAATAATAATAATAATAATAATTGTTCATTCCTTATCTCAATTATATGGGGTCGGTTACATAAATCTTGTTTTGCTAATTTGTTCTATTTAAAGGTTTCTCTCCATTGTTAAATTATTAGCATTTAAATCATTTCATACTAATTCCACCCATATCCTTTTTGGTCTACCCTGAGCTCTTTTATCCCCTTCAATGTGTAATAATCACTTTTTCTAACTAGCATAGTTGGTCTTCTATGCATGTGCCCAAACCTAGAGGTGTAAATCGAATCGTGCTGCCCGCGGCCCGACACGGCTCGACTGGACTTTGGACTGATCTGGCACGACATGGCACACAAGTCATGCCAAGTCCGACACGATGGTTTGTGTCGTGCTAGGCTCGGGGTTTTAGGTCCACGGCTATGACGCCCGAGGCCCTCGTGCGAGCATGACCCATATATATTATTTATATTATATATATAATATTTATATATTTTATATGTTTATATATTTATATAAATATATAATACATAATATATTAATATTATATAAATTATAATTATATAAATATATAATATATTAATTAAATAAACAAATATTTTCATTTTATTTAATTATTGTATATATAAGCAATTGTATACATCAAAATTCATATAAAATTAAAATTTTAAATTTTTTTAAATAAATAACTTTGACGTAATCCACAGCCTGACCTGACCCAAGGCTTGGCCCACAGACCAACCCAGGCCCACACGGACTTGGGCCATGCCAAGCCGACCCCCCAAGTTATCACATGGAGGGTGGCACGGCCTCTACCCAAACCATCTGGTCCACTCACTTCATTCCAAATCTTACTCTCCTTTCTATGGTGGGCCCCCTTTAATGGTGGATCCCATTCTCAAAGTGATATATGTGGTGTCAGAACATGTTGGTACGTTGTCGGAATGTGCTTAGTTGGGACATGACTTGCAAAGTCAATAAAGTTAAAATCAACCATGTTACAGGGTTAATGATTTTGGTTATGTATTTGGCCGGTCCTTTACCTAGTTTAAAGTTTGGGCATTCGAGAGTTCAAAGTATGGCAGACACAATACGCCCCGTATCAAGTCTATCATCCTATCATATCAGCAAGGTGTCAATATGCCTTCTTATAAGGCTAAAATCCCCAAATCCTTTGATTTGGGAAAAACAAATGTTACCGAAAATTTCTTTTGCCGCGAGTATCAATACTTCAAAATCAGAACGCTGTAACATTTACATGACCAAATTTTCTGGACGCATTCTTGCCCCGAGTTCCAAATTATACAAGAACGCCTCCGGGTTCCAGAATCATATTTTTTGAAGATTTACTAAAGCCAATGCCGCTTCATAGAGCTGCAACACCCATGACCCCCCATCACAATTCACAACCAATCTTGCTGCATAAATGTAAATTCTTCCAGAATGCAAAGGCCTTGCCAATGGTTACCAGCTTAATCCAAAAGCATAATAATACATTGCGCCACTAAAAGGGGCAAAAAGGAATGAGAGCCCCCCTGTACACATTCAACTGGGGGCGCAAAGGACAAAAAAGGTAAAGGAAAAAACAAAAAAGAGGAATGAGACCCCTGTACACATATCCCTCTATCTCTTCCAGGGCTTGAATCAAAGTAATGTACAAGAAAGAACAAGACCCCACAAAAACAATGCCCTCCAATTGACACCCCTCCATCAACAATGGAACATGCTCTTAGGACCTTGTACCTCATTCCGCAGAAAGCCGATGGGGAGTGACCAGCTTCCATCTGTTACACACCAACATGCTTGAATTAATTAATTTTGATGAAACAAACCTCAGAAAAGAAGTTCCATATCAGTCAACCAATGCCAAAATTGAATGATGGGATGTATAGAACAAAATGTCTTGTAATAGAAAAATCTTCCACTATATAATATCTAGACATGTCTGCCTACTGTTAATAGAATTTGAGCAGCACCAGAACCATGTCTTACCTGTACACTGCTGTTACATGGGCATACGGAGCAAAGCCTCACCGGACTGACCGCACTAATGACTGTCAACCCACTCTGGCACTTTATCCTGGTCCAGAGTCGGTGGGCCTGGGATACAGACCAGCTTGCCCTGCTTGAAGATGCTGTTGCTGCTGGGGTGGCTGTTGCTGCTGTGGTGGTGGTGGTGGTGGTGGTGGTTGCTGCTGCTGTTGATGTTGTGACTGTTGCTGCTGCTGCTGTTGATGTTGTGACTGTTGCTGCCGCTGCTGTTGTGTTTGTTGTTGAGGTGGTGGGGGTGGTGAGGGTGAGGATGACAGTTGCTGTGACTGCGGCTGTGGCTGCCACTGTGTCCCACTATTGTGACCAGGAATTGGAATACTGCCTGAGAATTGCCTTTGGGCCAACCCTGGGCTAGCTGATGGGATTGGCTCAGTTCCTACTGGATTCTGCAGGGATGGGTTCCCTATGGTGGCAGCCAAGTTTGTGGCTTGATTTGTCGTAGCTGAATCATACGATGGCTCTGGTGCTTTCCACTGAGCAGCATTTGCAGAAGAAACAACAGGAATTCCACTGGTTGATTCAGCACAAGACTGGGGCACTGTCGTGTTAATTCCCATATGGAAGGAACCGCTGAGAGGCTGCTGACCAACTTGAACATGATCACCCAGAGACTGCATAGGAGGATCAGAGTTAACAGGACGAGTTGGTGGAAGCATTCTCTGAATAGAATGTGGTGATTGGCCTGCCTGTCTTTGCTGCGTTTGTGGTTGTGGCTGTTGCTGCTGGTGAGGAGAGGTCATAGCCAACTGAGGAACTGCTTGTTGAGATCCCAAAATATGGCCAGAAGGTACTCCCGGGACCTGGCTTTGATTACTATTATCTGGAAGGGAAGGCATTGGTGATAGCTGCTTCGAGAAAGAGGGTGATGGACGAGAAAAGAGCTTTTGCTGTGGCTGGCATTGGTTTGAGGATTGGGAAGGTAATAATGGCTTCCCTGATTGAATGGAGTTAGAACCCGAATTAGGAAATAAGCCCTGGCCCTGCATCAGATGCATGACCTGCTCCTTTTCACCAACATGACTTCCTGGAGGTGTTGAAAGACCATTTATGTGGGAGGGATCAATAGCAAGGTTATGATGCATCATCATATTCCCTCTGCCCAATCCCTTCATTAGTTTAGCTTGTGGTTGTGCCTGGGACTGTTGCCGTTGTTGAGGATGGTGCCTACCAGCCTGTTGAAGCTGCTGCTGCCGCTGCTGCCGCTGCTTGAGCATCTGACCTTGAAGGTTGCCACCACTAGCTTGAGGATTTCGGCTCTGCCCATGGGATTGTAGGTGATGTTGTTTCTGTTGGGGTTGAGAAGGCATGGGATTCATTGGAGAAGATGGTGTTAGGGGGTGCTGGGAGTTTGAAGTGGGCAGTGGTACTGGCTGAGAAGATACTTGTTGCTGAATTTGGGAATTATTTTGCATGGGAGATGATATGGGATGTTGAGACTGTGATTGAGCATGAGGGATCAAATTATTGGAGGCAGAAAACTGGTGTTGATGTGGATGCTGCTGTTGCTGTTGTTGCTGCAAGAAACGTTGCTGAAGTTGCCTTTCTTTGGCAACACGAAGCATGTAGGCCTGTTGTTGTGGGCTAGTCGCATGATTAGACCCTTGAAGATGAGAGTGGTGAGGATTGCTGAGCATATGAGATTGTTGTGGCATCTGGTGTTGCTGCTGGTGTTGGACTGGAAATGATTGAACTGGTGGAGGAACTGTCTGGTTGGAGAATGCAGTGCTCATCCCACTGAAGGGAGGAACCCCTTGGCTGTTTCCTTGGGAGACCTGCATTTGAAGCTCTTGCATCATCATCTGCCTCTGATCCTCTGGATTTTGACCAGGCTACAACAACAAAAGAAATGCAACTATCAAGAAAATGAAGCTAATACATGTAGTCAATGCAATGATATCCACTAAAACACCAACTTTCAACATTAGAATAAACCTTATTTCAGTCCATGACACCAAAATACTCTTCGAGACACCAACCATCAGTAAAAAGTTTGTGACATAGTGGAAAACAAACATACATGAACTTTTTTATGTAGAACATTAAAAAAATAAAAAATTGAAACTCAAACATTAGTTAGAGACAAGGTTTAAAGGCTAAAGGTGGAGGCAAGGTAGTTGGGTGCCAAAGAGGCAAGGCATAAGCCGCGAGGCGGTTTGAGGAGTGAACCTCAAAGTAACATGATTTTTTAACTTTTATGTATATAAATATAATGTATGTACATGTATACGTATCTACACACAATTTATTTCATTTTATTGTGAACTTACATATTCTCTTTTTTTACATATATATATATATATATTCTTTTTAATGAGCTTTATGTTTTTTAAACTTTTATTTTCTAATTTATTTTATGACTATAACTTCGTTTATCTAAATTAGTTCACTAATATATACATGCATACTAAAATTATTTGCAATATTTATACTCATCTTTTGTCTTAAAATTAATCATATGATTTATGGCAATAATTTACATAAATAAAATTATTCATTTATTTATATATTTTTCAAATATACTTTTTCTTACATAGTCACTTTATATATTTTATTTTTTATTAAATCATGTTCGTTTATTTAAAAACAACTAAATAATCAATTTTCTTAACTTCTAAGTAGTATAACTAATTTTTAATATTTTTTTCAGTTTTAGTGTTTTTAGTACGAGGCTTACGCATCACCAATTTGAGGCACAAGGAGTGAGCAGCAAAGGAGCAAGGTGCCCAAGGCCAGGTGTTTTGGCTCACCTCACCTCAGCGCCTTCTAAAACTATGAACATAGATGATGCATAATTACACACAATGACAAGTGCAATCATTGAAAGTAGACCCACCAAAGACCAAAGCAAGTAACTCTAGGAAATGCTTGCCTACATTACCTACATAAAGTTAAAAGGTTTCCTAATCAGGTATTGGATTTCTACCATGTCGATGGATGATGTGGCTGATCCAAATTCCAAACCATCCAACAAGCAGGGGACCAACTGGAGTATAGATTGGCAACATTTTTATCCCCCAAACCACAGCCCTATACCAACCTTCTATTGAATAGTTTTCCCAACAAACTAGCCGAAGAATCAAGTTTTCATACAAAACATAACCACAGAACATTTTGGCAAGGCCTATTTGATCAAATTTTGTACCATGAATAAATAAGGTGGGCAAAGGAACAGTGGGAGTAGAGTCCAAACTACTCAACTATGTAGAACAATTCTTAGTCAATTAGGTGTTGCAAATAACCTGATTAACAAAACAGTTCCCTATAATATGTATACATACACATGAACTTTTTGAAAACTCCATCACATGCTCGTGGATGTTAGCATAATTACCACTTCCAAGACAAAGGAAATAACTAATAACTGCAGAAATGGTCTCTGCCATAACACATCCCAGGAAAAGAGTAGTTTCTCAAAAGTCAAGATAATTGTTTGACCATTCCCAACTTCCTGACGAAACATTTTTACTCACCAAATCAGAGAAACACATACATATAATAAGAAAGATTAAGCACAAATTGAATATGGAAGTAATCATAGTCCTCGCAGAAAATATAAATACTCACCCGCATCAAATGCATAGCATCACGTGGTCTCAACATTGAGCTACCCTGACTGGAAACAGCTCCAGTATGCATATTTACAGGGCTTGGCATCCCTACCCCACTGGATGGAAGCATATTACCAGAGTTCAGCATTGCTGGAGACCCCATTCCCTGGAATCCTGGTCGAGGCACCTGCATGCCTCTATTCATCATCATGCCCATTCCATTTCCACCAGGAAGCATACGAACACCACGATCAGTTCCAGGCAAAGTCCCGGCAACTGATAAACCGGACTGCTGAATGTTTCTACCAGAAAGCATCTGATTATACTGTTGCATTCTTTGCTGTTCATCAATACTTAATGATCCTGGTCTGGAAGTGCCATATCTTTGACCATCCCTGAGAGAAAAACAACTGACATTTTAGTATGAGAAGCTAGAACACATAGTAACAAACTAACAATATGCAGATGAAATTTGCACTTGAAGGACAAAATACCTAGAAGGAACATTAAGGCCGGCAGATGGTGATGGCAAGCCATTGCCAAGGACCATACCAGAAGATCCTTGTAGAATGGTATTTCCACTTGAAGAAGGAAGTCCTGGTGCCACAGAACCTTGGTTTGGAATTGCTAAACCACTTGTATGAGACCCTTGATAACCAAGGGAAAGAACATCTGCGCTAGATGTACTCTCATTACAAAGATCAAGAGGCCTTCATTATATCAAGTAAAAACACGTTAGCATTATTTTTTCAAGTGTCAGAAAACTCTAATGAAGATGAATGAAAGGTAACAAGTCAAAATCTACAGTAATAGCTTCTTCACTGGTTCAAACCTATAGTAACACTATATTTCAATTACATATAAGCACCAAAACTTACGTCAGAGGGCTTCCATTTAAGTTATTTGGGCAGACTTGGGAAAGTGCAATAACATGAGAATTGTGGACCGGTGCAATTTGTTTCAAATCCTGGTTATCATTCTTCACAAAAACAAAAAACAAAAAACAAAACTCAGTCAGAAACTAGTTTAAAGAAAAGCAAGCAAATATTAACCATCTCAAGAACCAATATTTATATTGTTTTGGAYCAACAATTAGCAAACTCTAATATTTCATACTTCCCACCTTTCAAAATTAGACTTTGTGCAACTAAAAAAGCATGCTATTTTTTTATTGTTAAAAAGAATACTGCATGAGATAAACAAATGTAGACCAAATAACATGGACCGAATGATCTAGACCTTGAAGGAACCAACCTACCGTTTTCCCCAGTGTTTTAAAAGCGCAAGGCACAAAAAAAGCGCAAGGGCCAATTTGCGCCTGAGGTGCAAGGCGCAAGGATGCACACACCTTTTTAAGCAAGGCACAAAACTACAAAAAAAAAGCTAAAAATTCAAAAATTCAAAAAAAAAATTAAACGTAAAGTTAATGTTAATAAAAATTCAAAAATTCAAAAATTCAAAAAAATCAAAAAGTCAAAAAATGCAAAAAAAAATCAAAAAATATTAAACATAATGATAATAAAAAATATAAACTTAAATTTTGAAATAAATGTTTTAAAAAACTATTATCTAAAGTTAAAATACATAAACATAACATGTAAAGCGTATTTAAATGAAAATTTAACAATAAAAGCAAACATATAAAGCATTTTCAAGCATGTAAAACCCACAATCTCTTTTTCTCTTTATTTGCATTGCTTCAAGTAGCCTAGGCGCACCAGGCATGCGCCTTTTGAAAAGGGTGCGCCTAGGACCTGGGCAAGGCGCATACCCCAAAATGTGCCTCGCCCGTGAGCCTAGGCACGCCTGAGGCGCACCTTTTAAATCACTGGATTTCCCTCAAAAAAAACATCTATTAATGGAAAAAAATCTGCACATATTACACAGATTATACAGAATATGTATGCACTTTATAGAAATGACTTCAACTGCACTGATTTTAGACATATTCTAAACCAGTGCACTGTAGCAAGGCAGCACCACCTGGGAAAGTATATAAAAATATTATATGAAATTACCAATTTGCACTAAAAATAGAAAATAATAAATGTAATCGTAAATACTAACTTTTCCATTTCACAACAAATGTATCATGTATTACCTAATAATTTATTCAAACTTTCTGCAACTTCAAGCCAATAAGAAAAACCATAGGTACACTCAACTGTCACCTATGTTTTCTGACAGACTTCAAGGAGAGCAAGAATACCGAAAATGAAACCCAAGGTAGACGATAAAACCATCCACTGCATGCCTCTAATTGACACTTCTGCACCTAGGAACACGACTAGCCACATTGGCATTGAAGATTATGGTGATCATCTAGGCATGTACTTTTCAGTGATGCTTCTCCACTATAGAAATGTAACTAGATCTAAAAGATATTGATCATTGACTTCAAAACACAATCAAGAAATAAACCTGGCTCCTATGAGAATGTAGTTGTTGACCAAGTGCAATAATTTTCTCAAAGTGAGCCTTAAGGGTATCCTCTTCCATTGGGCCCTGCAAACGTTGAAACAACTGTCTGGCACTTCCCTGTTTCCATATGCAGCATCATCAACAAATCAGCTTTAAAATTTAATTTAACATTTAAACTGTATAAGTATATATTCTTACATAACTAATAACTAGAAACTAAAAGTGAAAAATGTGGTTTAATTAGGAAAAATATAAAAAAAAAGAATCTTGCCTTTGGAATGCCAGGTAACGTGGATGGGTAAGGTTGAGAAGACCCCGAATCTTCAGCACTATCAGCTCCATCACCAGCATTTCTGTCCATTAAAATTTTGTGGCGCTCCTTGCATTCTTTAGGTTTTCGATAGATGCACTGAAGTTGCACAAGTGAAGAAGCATCTTCAATCCCCATATAAGAGAGAATAGTATTTTTTTGTGTGTGCTAAACATCAAGAAATGGCAAGGACTAGAATTCAACCTAATAAAGTCCTAAAACCCATATAAATGAATACAACTGAGCAGCCTTTTCTCTGTGCATGACAAACAAATTTGAGCACTATTATACCTTGAATTGCAGAGTACTGTTGATAGCATCACTAACAAGCTCCCAGTTTGGACCCATATCATGTACAAGAACAACAAGTGCCTGAGGCAGCACATAAAAAGTATTTTAGAAACTTGTTTCTAGTTCTCAAAAGCACCCATGGTTATAATGAAGTTGAATGGAACAGAATACCTGATCTTCAAATAGAGACCAAGGACTCCCAGAGCCTGATTGCCCATTAGGTGTCTGCAAACATGATAAAGGTTTTTAAGTGTGTAAAATACAACCAATACCAATAAATGGTCAGAGTGAACCTCCGACCCAAATAACAGCCTGTACCTAAGAAAATGGACTTAACAAAGATGGCAAAAACCCATTACCATATAGCATACCTTTAGTGCTTTAGTTTTCCTTCCCCGATCCCGGCCAGCAATCATTTTTATTAGTTTATTGGGGTTGGACATATTACTCATTTGGGAAGCCACTGGTGAAGGGATTGACCCAGACATAGGAGTAAAGCTTTCAGGTGAAGTATCTGTTAATTGTTTCATGATCTTAGGTTTCTTCGCAGCAGGTTGACCAAATAGACCTTCACAACCAGCATTCGTGTAAAACATAAATATGAAAAGAATAAAAGCTTTAATGTAATTGTTAAAGTGGCTGTTTACAACTAAATAGACACAAAATAAGCAAAAAAGGAAAAAATTTACCACTGTTTCCATTAGGTTCAAAATGATGACCCTCCAATCTCTTCTTTGATGTATCCCTCTGCAAAGAAAAAGGATATGACAATAGATCTGAATGCTTTAGCACAAAACAAAATATGCCATGCAAACTATAATGATTTTTTTTTTTTT